CCTAAAACCTTCTTTGGTAAATTTATACCCTTACAACAAAGTCACTTTTAATTTGTCATAGTCCATGGTATCTTCTGATGTCATGCCTGTATATACTTTTAGTCCTTTTCCTGTGAGAAGTGGGCTGAAACAGACTGCCCAGTCGCTTTTGTCACAGTTCTGACTTCAGGCAAACCTTTCATATCTCTCCAGGAAAGCATCTAAGTCATATTTATATTCATCAAATTTGGGCAGCTTGGGTCAACTGGCCCTGACTCCATTGTCATTCTTGGGTCCTACGGTTGGGTGAGCTTTGCAATCTCAATTTATGCTCTTATTCTCTCTATTTCTAGGTCTCCTCTCTCTTTTTCTTCTTTTCAATTTGTGCTCTTATTTTCTCTTTTTGCAGTAACTCCCCTCTCTTTCTCCTTTTTCAATTTGTGCTCTTATTCTCTATCTTTCTATTTTCAGTCTTTTTTTCTCATTTTATTGTCTCTACTTTTCTTCTTTCATCCTCTCTTCTCTGTTGCTGCTCTTCTCTCTCTAGTTCTTTTTTAACAAACTCTCGTAGTTCACTGTTTTTTAACCTGAGAACGCTCTCCTCTTTCAATCCATTTATCAAAATTTGACGTGGTTATATAGCGTGATTGTAATCTCCACACTATTTACGCTACTACTACAGAACTACCTATTTCTGCTGTCGTTCACATTTTATTCTACCCCCATTTACCACTCTATAATCCTGGCTGTAGCTCGCCAAATGTCAGAAACTATTTTTTAGTAATATATATATATTAGCTGTATCTTATATAATATACAGTTCTCTTCTTGTTGTCAAAAGTACACTTCGGCCAATTCATTTGCTTTAGAATTCAGTTGACAAGCCGAACTATTTTAATCGCAATAGTATCCGTATATAATTCACTTACGCTGTCGCGTGAGTTTCTGAAGTTGTATCCTGTGTTTCCAATAATCGTCTGTTTTTCCGTCAAAGTCTACACAGGCGGGTTCAATTAGCTCAGAAGACTCTTTGATAAGGCAAATTATTCTCCTTATCTCTTTCCAACTGTATTCTCACTCTAACATATCAACCATCAGGCCTTTGACTCCTACAAAGGTTAATTTTGCATTTTATAACTTATCTCTTATCGATTGTTTGTAATTAACCACAAAGCTACACAATGGGCTATCTGTGCTCTGCCCACCACGGGTATCGAAACCCGGATTCTAGCGTTGTAAGTCCGCATACATACTGCTGAAATAGGATGAGGGGATCTTCTCCTCAACAATGTGTGTGTACATCACTAAAATATTTTCCCCCTTAAGAGTGACTATCATCACTTTACATTAGTAATACGAATAGTGATATTTTGAAAACGCTCATCTGAATGATATTTCAAACACATCCCTGCAAACTCCAAATAAAGAACTAACTAGCAAAGAAAAAAAACAAACAAACTTGGATAGGGGAAGAGGGCTTTACTTATTCTTCGAGCTAACATTAAGACTGACATTAGATAAAATTAAAAGTACAGACAACCATTAAGATGTTTTAACAGTGGTAATGCAGAAAATATAGTTTTGTAATTATTTAATTTAAAGTAACGACCGACGAAAAAGAAAAGAGTAACTCACCTAAAAATTAAGCTATATACATTCTTGAAACATCACTATTTGCAAATGACAACAAATAGGATTCTAGCGAAGAGGTAAATGATGAACGACGCTCTCACATAAGCAAAGTTCTTTATTATTTAAGAAAATATTTATAACATCCCACTGATACTTTGGTTTACTTATGTATTACGTATAACATCCCACTGATACTTTGGGTTACTAATGTATTACGTATAACATCCCACTGATACTTTGGGTTACTAATGTATTACGTATAACATCCCATTGATACTTTGGGTTACTAATTTATTACGTATAACATCCCATTGATACTTTGGGTTACTAATTTATTACGTATAACATCCCACTGATACTTTGGGTTACTAATTTATTACGTATAACATCCCAGATACTTTGGGTTACTAATTTATTACGTATAACATCCCACTGATACTTTGGGTTACTAATGTACTACGTATAACATCCCACTGATACTTTGGGTTACTAATGTATTACGTATAACATCCCACTGATACTTTGGGTTACTAATGTATTACGTATAACATCCCACTGATACTTTGGGTTACTAATGTATTACGTATTTAGCGTTGGAACAGAAATAAGGGACATTTCTAATGAAGATGAGCAAACAATCTTACATACAAATACATGGTTAATTTAAAAGGTGTCGTTAATTCGAAACAGATATTACCCACCTGTAATTAAACTAGACAGGGTTTTAGGAGCAATTCCTCACCAGGAGGTTAAAATAGAATAAACGCGTTATAATCGTATCATTTGAACTTGTACAAAATCTCCATCTCATTTTTCTACCACGAGAAGATTTTTGATGCAACGTGTGGGTATAATAGAATTTAAAAAATTCTTACAGTTTGTAAATTTTTACTACTTGATTGCTCTTGAGCGCTACTGAACGAAATGTTATATCCTGCCTATGCCGATAGTTCACAATATGCACCCGAAACGTTTTGATGTGTTTGTTTAAGCGCAAAACTACACAATAAGCTAATTTCGATCTTTCCACAACATGGTACCGAACCCCGGATTTTAAAGTTGCAAGTTCTCAAACTTACTGCTGACACACTGGGGGACCTTACGGTTTGAAAGAAAAATACTAAGATATTTCGGAAATGCATTACAAAAATCTACACATATTCAAGAGAATGCAAGCGCTATCATATTGTTTATGGCAACGAAAAAATCACTGTTACATTAATAAAACGATAATTTCTGTAGTTCCTACAGGAAGTTTTTAAAACAACGACAACTCCACTGACATACTTCCTTAATATTTATTTCTTCATCATCCACTGCATTTCCAAACTTCAAGAAACAACGACAAATTCTACAATAGCGACACCAACAATTATAACCGCTTTTACACTATTGTGACTTTTTCAAATTCATATCCGGTGAGGTGTGAAAACGTGTGACGGAAGTAACAAGGAGTTCACAAAAACACATGACAAGCGGCACATGCGCTCTTGATACAATGAACACCAGTAACGAAAAGCTGGCGTCTATCAACAATTTTTTTTAAAAATTATTCTTTTTCGAAACAATATGTATATAAAATGGCAGACTTATTAAATAAGGATTTTTATTATATGAAAATTACACAAAACTTACTTATAAATTATATACTAGTTTTTGGCTCAAACCACCATTTACACTGAACTTTTTACTTTCCTTTATCCAATTAATGTTTACAGTTTTAATGTGTTTTACACCAATTATTTTCAAACATCACATGACTACTTGAGTTTAGGTTTTATAAATTCAAACTTTAGGAGTAAAATATCAACTGAACTTCGTGTAAATTTGCCCAGTTTGTACCTCTTATTACGCAAGTTCAACGAGATTCTTAACCAACCTTATAAATCACTGCACTAGAAAATGCAGTTTAGACTTAAACCGTTAGTTTTTTTTATCAATAATACACAAACTGTTGTTCATATGATTCTCTAGTATCTAAATCTACCTTAATATTTGAAAACGTGGCAATAAAACTAATTTATCTCAACTTTTTTTAGCACATTTTATCTTTCTTGTACAAAATGCAAACTGATGGCAATCTTAGCAAACTATTATGTTACACCAATTTATAAATACTAGTTTTAAATTGTTTTGCTAAAAAAATTGTAAAATTTGACCATCTGTTCATTGTGTTAAGTGTTTCATTTTAATAATTTCATTATAAGCATGAAGAAGAAGAGAGCACAAATAGATTTATGATGTAAATCTGCTCCAGTTTACATGTAATTTGTATCTTTCAAAATAATAAGTAACCAGTACAAATCTTAAAACTGGAGAAAAATGCTACTTACAGTAGTGCTATAATAGTTCATATCTGGCACCAAAACTAAAACGTAATGTCAAAAAATTATTCATTTAGTATAAAAATAAAACAAAACCTCTGTTTCAATTTGTATTATACTGGAATAATTCAATTTTCTTGATGAAAAAACTTTTTATTCACTTTGCCCGAAATTTAATACTGTAAACAAAGAACACAAGTACAAAGTTCTTTCTGAGAAAAGAAACATCAAAATTCTTTTTTTATTACAGTGCTTACTAAACTAAATTTTAGCAACAATTCCACTAAAGAAATGGTTTAAATTTTCAAATATTAAAATTTTATTGTTAAGTAATTTGCTATTTCAATTTTTTTATTAATCAGTTTACGACAATTTTTAAAAATTTAAAACTAATGCTGTAAATTATTCTTGAAGAAGTCCAAATGGCAATTATGAGGCAAATATATATATTTTATGTATTTCACAGCTTTGGGTAATATAAAAAAGTTAATGTAAATACATCACCACTTACTAAAACTCGCAGGGCTTTCAGCAGTTACAGATGTGTAAACTCATGAACAAAAGTGTGTTTATTGAATTCCTTAACTAAACTAAACAGCATTTCTTTATGCTTCTGTTATTTCAAAAAGTCAAAATGAGAATTATCACTAAATATGCAGCATAATGCTTGTAATAATGTTTTAAAAACAAAATATTACAAAAGGTATACAAAAAGAACATATATTAACTAATATACATACATTTTGCATAACTCTCCTAAATTCATGCAAACATCTATTTAGATTTGATGTAATAAACATACTGATGATATGCATGTGCAACTTTTTTATATGCAACATAACTGCTATTAAGTTTCAAGAATTGAATACTTTAGAATATTAAAGTTGATTATCTACTGTATATCTACTATTTGTTCTAATACATTTTCATCTTGAAGCATAAGCTCATGTAAGCATGTGTAATAGATAAAAATTACTGCACTTATACTTTAAAGTACAAAATTCTTAGTCACAATTTTTATAGAATCGCACACATCTTAAAAAAAGACAGAAGCCTTATAGTTTAACTTGTTAAAACCTGCTTTAAGTTATGTGAAAGAACAGGAATTGTAAATGGAATGTTTGACAATAATTTACAATTATACTTCTATTACATGATTTAGAAGACAAAATGAAGTGGTTGTTCCACTTATGATAACACTTCATAACACTAACATGGAAAGAATGCAGCACAAAACTGTAAAAGTGCACAAGAGTAAATATATTTCTGTAAATAAAAAGTTAATGATTGAAGAAGAAAAAAAAATCATGTGCATGACTTGTTTTACAACACAAGTTCAGAAAATAGTTCATTAACAATGAACAATGTTTAAGTGGAAAATTAAAACTGAGTTGTTTTGCTGTTTATTGTCAAATACTAGTACAGAAATAAACAATATTAAAAAGAAAATCATACAGAAGGCAAGAAGAAATTCTCATTCTCAAAATAGTATTTCCTGGTTACATCTACTACAAAATATTTGAGGTCACTCTCAAGACCCTAAGAATTAATTTTTTTTGGTAATTTATTACTACAGTATTTGATAAAAAAATCTGAAAAACAATAATACATTTTGATTCAATACAAAGTTAATAATAAAACATTTATTTATCATCTATTAGACTTATACTTCCCCTTATAAACTTTTGATTTAATTTTGTTTGTCACAATATTTGTCATGTTTTGTTTTTAGATCATGGTACAATAACACACACTGGTTAAATCAAATCTTTCTGCATTTATCTTTTTGTTGTTTATTCTTCCTGGGTCACTATTAGGTGTATAAAGTGGCAGGTAGAGAGAGAGGTGACAAACAGTCAACATATATCTAACCTCCGTAAAATGTTAAAACCATGAAATTCCATTTTTGCAGATAATGTTTAGGTTGAAGATATTTTTTCCAAATCTGACGTTTGTCTTCTGCCTGCTCTACAGACAGGTTTTTAAACTGCACATGCAGAAATAAACATGAAGATGTTGTCAATGGTAGAATGAGGTCAGAATAATTCATGTAGCAGCTTGCAGAGTTCCTTAGAAACCGTATCTTTACTGGATCTAATAGTAAGACGGTACATCTGAAAAGTAAAAAATCATTCAAGTTAACCACCATATGAGATACATAAACGCTTAGCATCTATCTTGTTTACTCTCTTAAATCAGGACACACACTCAACACAGATGTTGCATGTGAAATTTTATTCAAGTCAAATTATGAACAGAATCTCAAAGAAAAAAGTTTGCTCAACACCTAAGCTTCTAGCCTTCTGTAAGAGAAGCACAGACAAGCAGAAAAATCTCTACATTTTGTTTTCTACAATGAGAATACTCATTTCAGGCAGATGCTGTGTACACTGAAGTGTGATTGCTTTGTTTTCTACAATCAGGATACACTATTTAGACAGATACTTTATACATTTAACATAGCAATGTTTATTTTCTACAGTCAGGACACACACACTACAGACAGACACCCTCAACATTTAACATTTGGTGTGTTTCTTACAATTAGAACAAATATAATTCTGAAAGAAAAACTGTACACATAAAATGGTAATACTGTTTACTGTTGGATATACAGAGTACAAACAAGTTTTACATTTTACATAACAGGCTGCTTCCTTTAATTATTTATATTTTTATGGTAATATATTGTTTCTTAAAATTAAAACACATGCTTCTGAAGTACTGCACACATAACTGGTAATATTTTGTTTCTTAAAATTAGAACACATAATCTGGATAGACACCATGTACAAGTAACAAAATATAGTTAAGGCTTCTAATTTTCAGTTTTAACCAATAAACACTGATAAAACATCCCTAAATACAAAAAAAAAAAACGAAAAAGAAATTGGTATTTTTTTCAATAAACATTGAAAAAACATCAGAAATGGTTATTCATTTTACTTAGTATTAAAATTAAAAATTCCAAAACACAGATTTTAAGGTATTTACATAAAACTAAAAATTAAAACCCTAAAAAACACCAATTTTAAGATATATATAAATAAAAATATAAAACAGCTTAAAATAAACATAAAAAAAAATAGCCCTAGATATAGTTTTATTTCTTACAATCAGAACACATTCTCAAAACAGAAACTGTGTACCCCTAATATGCTTTTTTGTGTGATATTACATCAAAACAAAAGCAGGGGTGAAGTTCTTAACAAAAAATGCACATAAAACAAAGGATTTTACTCATATATGTAATTTAGAATATAGTTTACCAAAAACAATAGATGCAACCACTCTATTCATGGTTTCAAAGAAATAAATATACAGTGACGTGCAAAAAATGTTATATCAGATATAAAGTTTGAATATTTTGACAACAAAACAAGATGGCAATTTCAAACAAAGTGTTCTTGATAGAAAAATCTATGGTCAATGTATTGTTAGGAAATCACATCTATGGAGGGCTTATAAATTGAAACCCTTACATTCAATCCCATATGGATTCCGATTCTGAATTGGCACAAATATGCACTCACACACAAATCTGTATTTTCACCACCAAATTAAGGCTAATATTATGCACAACCACCCTGTGCATTAATGCACACTACTACTGACTTCCTCATGGAGCCAGTTAGACAATGGGTGATGTCATCAGGAACTTGTCTCCACTCCTCCATGATGGTTTGCCTCAGCTCTTTTCTATTGATTGGTGGGTTTGTTCTTGTTCTTCTATCCGCATGATCCCAGAGTCTTCTATTGGGGACACATGAAGAAAACATACTGGCTATTGTAGAACATCAATGTTGTTGCCTTGGATTAGATTTCATACCACCTTTAATGTGTGGGATTTGGTATTGTTGTGCTGGAATAAAATATTCTGGGCTGTTGGCAGATGAAAGAAAGAACAAAAGATCATAAGATTTCATCTTTGTGATACTGACCAGTGAAATTAATAACAATTACAATAATGGAGGTGCTCTGGTTGCCATAATTTCCTCCCCATACCATGATGCTCCCTCATCCAAACGACTGTCTCCTTGACACAACACTGAGCCGTTCACTCACAGAGGTTACACATGGATACTGCCATCAGCTCTATATAAGGAAAATCTGCTTTCATCCAAGAACAAGACTATGTGCCAGATGTAGATGCATCATCTCAAAAGATTTCCTGCCCACTTAATTATGCACAGATGACATTCACGGCTCAGTGTTGTCCCTCTTTAGGGTCTGTAGGCATGTATACCTGTAGCTATAGGTTGCCTGGTTATGCTGTGTCAGCTGATGGCATGAGCCAATAAATGTTTTGATGACATCACAATGAGGAACCAGTTTCTCCGATACTTTGTACATAGATAGTTTCTTGAAGCATGATCAAATGAGGCCTGCCTGTCCTAGGCCTTTCTGATGTCTGTCTGAATTGTCCCAACAATCTTGTAATGGTCACTCTTGAACAACTGAGGTTTCTTGCAGCCAGGGTGTGCGAGATCTCAAATTGCCTTTTCTCATCAGCCAGTAAAACCCATAATTTGTATATATTTGTCATTATTGACCAACCATACAAATCACATGGCCACCTGACATTGAAACTGCTAAATAATTTCTCCTATTATTTTATGGCCAACAAGAACTAATGTCTTTAGATCACTAACTGGTTCACTTGAAGAATATTTAATAATCATTTAGATTATGTGAGTCATGATGTGTCTGCTTTTTGATAATACAATTGAAGACATGTGGATTGGATGAAAAACAGATCAAACAAGTCCTGGTACTGAGTGCTGGCTGAATTTCACTCTTGAACAAAACTGACAAATCATTTTTTACTAGCCAGACATGATTTCTCAGTATGAAAAGCAGTCTTACTGTCATTTCATATTACACAAACTACTGATTTATATACCATGCTTTATTGCTATTTCTTACAATCATGCTAGTAATTTCAAGAAGACACTGTATAAAAAGAAATATTTTATCCTCTAACATGAAGACAATCTTCACATGCATACATTTTAACACTTTAGAATCATACGAAAAGAAAAAAAGAAGATTGGTTTATAGATAATGAGTTTTATCAACTTACTTGAGCCTGTGTGTTGGGTTCTAATCTAATCAAACATCCTACTTGTAGAGTACGAGTGTGAATGATTCCAGCACATACATAGTTTTCAGGGTTGGGATCAATACCAGTCAACAGTTGTATTCCAAATCCTATTAGCTACAGTAAAAAAAAAGACAATGCATTCATATACTAGGGTTTGACATAATGTTGACTTAACACAACTAGAAAAAGCAAAATGTGTATTTAATAGGTTAAAGAAATGTAATTACAGTTACAAAAAAAAATGTTTGAATTGTTCTGTATGTTATGACAAACATTTTATATGAACATACATAATACTCTAAGAACTACTTCAGAACTGTTCTATCAACTGGAAATTATCAAAATGGATGACCCTATGCAAGGTTCCCACACCTTGGGTAGAATGAAATTACTTGGCTTTTCCCAGACCTTTCCCTGCCCATTTGACCTATTTTTCTAATGTATCTCTGAAATAATATCTATAACAAAATGTAAAATAGCATGTGTGGTTTAATAAAGACAATACAGGCTGTACATTAACAGTTACAGTTCGTTAATGTTTCCATATGATTCCCAAATTATTTACACTTTACCAAAACATACACAGCAAAGGCAAGTTATTCATTTAATTACAATCATGCTGATCATAAATTTTAATTTTATTTTAAATCACAAAAACGTTATTGCAGCATAAACAGATTTTAAAAATTGTAATTACAGTAGAACCTTGTCATTAAGGGCAGACCTTTTCGGTCTCTTTAGTCTCCTTCTCTATACAGGCACTCAATAAAGCAGGCAGTTAACCTTTTCTCTGTGAGTAGGTTAAAGTGCTCATGACATAACCTTTTAGAAGTTATTTTCCAAATTTTTATAAAATAACATTACTATTACTCATAACACTGTAAGCACTCAAAATCTTTGTTTTTCGAAGTATATTTTTTATTTATTCTTCTATGTTTTAATAAAAATAACTAACATTTAAGCATCTGTGAATAAAGAATAATTATTGGTTGATGAATAAATTTGCTAAAAGGGAAAAAGGATTTTATAATTACGTGCACAAGTATCTTTGTATGCTAAATTCCAAACATCCCACAAGAATGACCAATATTCAAACACTTGTAATGTTTATTGGATCATCTCTGAACCATTATTGTAATAAACATTTTGAAATATTCAACTTACAATCTTATTACTCTCATTTTAAACATTGTAGGCTGCATAAGCTGATAAATTCCATATGTTCAGGTCAAGTCGGTTTATTTCGATGCATGTGCTTTGTTGCTCAAAATAAATTTGCACTTGAGTGAGGTTTCTTAGAGATTTTAGACACTGTAATGACTCTTGAGGGTCAATTGCAACACCACCAGTGTAAATATGACAAACAATCATCTATTAAAGAGTTTCTTACAAAGTAAACACATAATCAATGGCTCCTTTTTGAATATTAAGGGCACCTTACTATAGAGGGAATTTAGATGCAGTCAGAAGGGTGCACTTAATGTTGAGGTTCTACTGTTTTATGTTTCGACTTTCAATACATAGAAGGAACACATTTACAATTGTAAAATGGAATATTCTGTAACAAGTATACTCCTCATGGGTAAAACATTTACTAAAGCAATATTTACAGAAGTGCACAAAAATATTCAAAACTTTCAGTTGCTAACTGAAGTACTCAGATTTCCAACATCTATAAAACCACTGCACATGTTACAAATCATATAAAAACACATTGTATTATTTTCACACATGCTTTGAAACTGTGTGCATCAAGTTCATCTACATAAAAAGTATGGAATTTTTTAATTAACATGAACACATGTTTATCAATCAATCCTGTTACCAAAACTATTTTCAGGTTTATGTAAATTTTGTTCATTCACAAGATCACCAGGTTATACTAACAAATTAAGGGTGTTAATAGCTTAGAGTTTGAATATTTAAACATTAGAAAAATGTCAGATGATTTGAAATTTGCTTAATCTATTAAATGTTAAAAATGTGCAATTCAAATATTAAGAAACTGAGGGCTGCTCAGAAGTTCTTTCAATGTATACTTCCAACTTTTGTCATGTGGCATTACTAGCAGATAATGAGATTCACGTTTCATCTTAACTTTGGATTTGTAAAACAATGTCATGCTACCACTCAGTTGTTAACAAATTCCTTATATCATTATAACTATTAATATTACTAAAATATTATACATTTCACAAATAGAAATTACTAAAAAAATTTAATACAAAATTTTGACAGGCAAGAAAATAAATAATATGATTATGAATATTATATATATATATATTCAAATACACAAAATGAAACAATTATCAGATTTTCCAAATATAACAATTAATTAATTTCAAGAATGACAGCTTAATCACTTTTAGTTGAAACTGATTTTCTTAAACATCACCAGCATAATCCCCCACCATGTAGAGATACAACAAACTGATGTTGTATCTCCCCCACCCCTCAGCCAAGGGACTATATTCACCTATCTATAAATACTCTATCACTTCATCTACTTATCATTCTATCTCTTTATTGCTAATACAAATTTTGTCTACCTGCTTGCAACACCTACATTTTTTTTTATATCTATGAATGATATGAATTATAAAGTAATTTCTTGATCCCTTGAAAGTCATAATGGTTCTATAGTTTTAAGTTTTAATATAGGACACCTTATTTGTTCTAAGTCTAAAGTCTATCTAAAGCATTCAAAGATTTCAAATTACCTGTCTTTGCCTAAAGTATTAATCGTATGTATGACAGGATCAAACTGCACATGAATCTTTTACAAAGTTACATTTATAAAATTTAATTAAACAACTATATCATCAATGTATACCAACAAAATGTGTATAAAAATGTACATTATAATTTCAATTTTAACTTTTTTATTATCTAAGTTTTAATTACTTGATTTCAAAAGAAGACAAAAAATTCTCAATCTTTACTCATCTATATTACACGATATGTTTGGCTTCGACTTTTCCCTTTCAAAATTTTCTAACATCATAAATAGGCTACTGAATCTGACAACCAACTAGAAACATAAACCACATATAACAGCATTAAATAATAAAAATTTGAACCCCTTACCTTCTTCATTTGTTGAGATATTAATAAATATGTAAAATTCACAACAGAATCCCCTCCAAACTTTTTCATGCATTTCATATCAATTAACAACATCACTCTACATGTCTGTTTATAACTACTAGAGAGAGAATATTATAATTTACAGGAAACTTAACACCGTAACAGTAACATAATTTTTAAACCTATTTATAATTTAGATAGAAAGCCAGATAAATTATAGTTTTGAGACAGTCCATTCTAGTGTCTGATATATTTTTTATGTTCTAAAATACATATTTGAAAGCTAAATGAATTATTATTTGAACAACCAGTAAAGTGACAAAAATGTACGGTTACTGAAGTATGGCATTCAAGTGTAAACAGGCCTTAAAACCTACAGTAAGTGTTGAATTTGTTTTTTATGTTTTTCAAAATATTTATTGTAATATGTTGTTAAACATATGTAACTTAAATGTAAAAAAGTAAGAACTTCTTACATTACGTAAGAAAAATAGAATAATTAAACTTTCATGAGCTGTAACTTGATCATTTTCTTTTTTGTGGGGAGAAATAGATATGCTTTCTCCCTCTGATTTATTGCTTTTCACATAGTAAACGACGGATTCCTTGGAAAAACCTAACTTTTGAAATTATGAAGATAATTCAACTGAAGATCTGGTGACAAATGATTTATTCAAAGAAGAAGAAAATAGTATTATGTATTTTATATTTTTCAGCATTTCATTTCACTGTACATTTATAAATTTACTACAGTTGGTGTTAGGACAGAGAAAATAACAGATATGTTTTACAAAAAGACAACAAACAAACAAACATACCTTTTCCTATCTATTTAGCAGGTTCTGGAGATTATACAAATGAAATACAAAACTAAGACAAAGATAAGTATGTTTATTCTTAACTTGAAAATCCACTTTCACTCTGACTGACCGACCAAAGGCTTTGTAGATTCACAGAGCAATCTTTAGTATAAAACTTTATTATAAATTGTAATTTATTGTTCTATTAAACAACAGAGTTGTAACGTTTTATAAAGGGTTGCTATTTATGAAGCTACATTTGGCAAATTACGAGTTATATTACATATACTTTTACATTTCCAAAGTGGGTCAAGTTCACCTATGTCATATGGAAAGAGTTAATGTGGTCTGTGCTACTTACTATCTTTTGTTTTGTTTAATAACCAAGATCTTGATATGTTATCAACATTAACAGCTTTAACCCTGCAGTACAAGAAATTACACTTGTCCATATTTTCAATACCAAAAAAAGAACACTTCACTGGTCCTTAATATTAAATTCTTAATGTCATCTACCAACATTGTTCTCAGTCTGTGGTTCACTGATCCCTAGTTGTACAAGAACACTAAACAGTGACCTGTGACAGTAAAGGTCAAGTTTATATACTACAGTTAAAAATCAACAAAAAACAATACTATGTTCAGTTAAATGAAATAATTTTTTGGTTGGAAACTTTTCTAACTTTCACACTTATTATGTAAAGATTGTTTTTCTTCATTGTAGGATCAGCTACCACAGATAGATCTATCTAAGTATAGGAGTCTGTAAACTTATCTTTATTTCATAAAGACATTAATAATTAAAAAAAATTAGCATCACTGATCTACCTAGATTGTATAAAGACCTAGTAAGCATACCTTATCTATCCTTAGTTGAAACACTGATGTTATCTACCTAAATTGTATAAAGACATAGTAAGCATACCTTATCTATCCTTAGTTGAAACACTGATGTTATCTACCTAAATTGTATAAAGACATAGTAAGCATACCTTATCTATCCTTAGTTGAAACACTGATGTTATCTACCTAGATCGTATAGACATAGTAAGCATACCTTATCTATCCTTAGTTGAAACACTGATGTTATCTACCTAAATTGTATAAAGACATAGTAAGCATACCTTATCTATCCTTAGTTGAAACACTGATGTTATCTACCTAGATCGTATAGACATAGTAAGCATACCTTATCTATCCTTAGTTAAAACACTGATGTTATCTACCTAGATCGTATAGACATAGTAAGCATACCTTATCTATCCTTAGTTAAAACACTGATGTTATCTACTTAGATCGTATAGACATAGTAAGCATACCTTATCTATCCTTAGTTAAAACACTGATGTTATCTACCTAGATCATATAGACATAGTAAGCATACCTTATCTATCCTTAGTTAAAACACTGATGTTATCTACTTAGATTGCATAGACATAGTAAGCACATTTTATCTGTCCTTAGATTGATAGGTTGATCAAGATTTAACAGAGGAGTCTTACTTATTTCAATACCATTTACACAGATGGATCAAAGAATTGATGTAAGGCACCTTAAAGTCTAATTCCTTAATGTTATATTTATAATTATTGATAAAGGGAAGAATACCCGTTACTGAAGTATTGATGTAATCCACTCTGATTGTTTATTCTTGATATAGTATCTATCAGCATTATATACAGTTTTTATGCACTATGAATTTGATCTGTAAGTATAAAGCAGTATATTGCAGTAGATCTTAACTTGTGCAGTATTTCTATTCAGGTTTAAAAATAACAAGATCTAGTTTACACCTCTTACCTTTGCTTTCACTGCTTCTGAATCCATAGGATAAGTGGCCTTGAAAATTTTCTGTGCCTCTTGAGTTGGGCTAAAAAAAAATAATAAAAAAGTCTGGAGCATAGAATTTAAAAAATGAAGTTATTCACCAAGTTAAACAAGTCACAAAAGTATTATGGATTTTGGTCAGGATGTGTGAAACTGTAATATAAAAGTTACACAACTGATTTCAATAACAAAATAAATTTACACACCTACATTATTGAATAAATAGCTTCTATTAGACACACTTAAAACAATTAATTACTCATAATTTTCATACACAAAATTTTAGAGTCACTGTTCATAAAGTGTAGAGGTCCCTAGCACAACAAGTTAGTTCATTTACATGAAATTAAAAGTGAATCAAGAAAAATAACTGGATGATCTACAGTTTAAAACAGATCATAGCCATGTCTCAAAGCTGACAACAAATCTACAAAGGTATTCAGAAGTGTACTTTCAGAGTTTGACAATATGGCTATTTCAAAAGTAAAATCAAATAACTTTAACAGAAATAGATATTACTGCATAAGAATAGTTCTGTTTACTTTCTACTAAAGCATGTTTAGTTAGGATTCAGGATATAAAACAAGAACAACACATTTTTCCTTACATCCTAGGTGTAAGCTTCAAATAGTTTTGATTATTTTCTATCTAAATATCCTGCTTTCATATTGAACAGCTACAAGTTTTCTATGAGTCATAACAAAATTCCATGTTACCATTCTACTTTAAGAACTTTGAAAAGGTTTAGTTTTGTATAGTTATTTCTAGCCAACTGGTTTAATACATAACACATCATATAAACTTTTTATATTATTTTATATTTTTCATTTCTTTATATATATATATATATATATATATGTATGTATATGGGTATGAAATATATGTGAATATGTAGCAGAAATATGTCTACAAAAGTGCATGGCCTCCTTTAGATATGTAATACTAAATGAAGCAATGTTAAACTAGTATAAAATAATGGAATTCTAATATAATGACAAAAAACTTACACGTTTACTTTATCAACTTCTTATCTGTTCTTTGTAGTATAAATTTCTTAACAAACAAACTCACTTGTTTACTGTGCCATACATTTAGTTCTTAACTGTTTACTGTGCTATACATTTAGTTCTTAACTGTTTACTGTGCTATACATTTAGTTCTTAACTGTTTACTGTGCCATACATTTAGTTCTTAACTGTTTACTGTGCTATACATTTAGTTCTTAACTGTTTACTGTGTTATACATTTAGTTCTTAACTGTTTACTGTGTTATACATTTAGTTCTTAACTGTTTACTGTGTTATACATTTAGTTCTTAACTGTTTACTGTGTTATACATTTAGTTGTTTACTGTGTTATACATTTAGTTCTTAACTGTTTACTGTATTATATATTTTAATCAAATTCTTATTATTTATTTTACTCAAACTTTTTTTATATTGTACTATATTTTTATTAAAGTCCCTACTAGTTTTCTGTACTACAAACTTATGTCCTCCTTGCTTGTTTATTGTACTATTTATTTTACTCAAACTTCTTTTATATTGTACTATATTTTTTATTAAAGTCCCTACTAGTTTTCTGTACTACAAACTTATGTCCTCCTTACTTGTTTATTGTACTATTTATTTTACTCAAACTTTTTTTATATTGTACTATATTTTTATTAAAGTCCCTACTAGTTTTCTGTACTACACTCTTATGTCCTCCTTGCTTGTTTATTGTACTATTTATTTTACTAAATTTTTTATCACACTTATTCTATTGTTCATATTACAAAAGTCCTCTCTTCCTTATAGTACTGCATATTTACTGGAATCCTTAACAGTTTACTACATTATATGATTACTCTAGTCCTCACTTGTTTACTATACAACAAATTTTACCAAAGTCTCTATGTGTTTACAATGTTTTGTATTTTACTCAAGCTCATACTTGTTTAATACATTTTATATAAATACTTGCTTATTTATTGAACTACATATTTACCTTGAAGTCTTGTTCACTGTATTATAGATTTTACCTAAACTCTTAGTTATTTAAAGTAAAACACAGTTTACATTAGTCCTTACTTGTTGAGATTCTTCCACCTTGTGAAAAATGATTCTGAGTTCATGACTGTTGGTTCCGAGAACTTATTTATAGTAAGTGGGAGACGCAATGTTAACTTCTGCTGGACATTACAGTATCTACAGGGAAGTCAAAAAATTATATTTATGACTTTAATAATTATCTATTGATACTAACAAATACTCATTCTTCAGTGTTTGAACGTAAATGCTTACAATAAAAGTGTAAGTGAATAATGATTTATAGCACAAAATATCCTTATAAACTAATGATTAAAAAATAATCTAACATGTTCTTGAACACTTAGTGTAGTTATATAATGAAATAATACCCATGAACTTCCATAATGTTGAACGGAAAGCCAGTAAAGTCAAAGACATCAAAATGAGAATGGTAAGTTAAGGACAGTATATGCACATCTTCCGTTAACTTAAAACCACGAAAACTATAACCTTTCTACATGTTGATTTCCTGCCCTGAAGTCTTCTGAATGAACAGCTTCATTTTTTACTCATCTATTGTTTGTACAGTAAACCTCTTGATATGCATGTGTTTATATGCATGCACATGCACGTACACATAAATATTAATTTATTCATGTACATTCAGTATCTGACACACACACACACACACATATATATATATATATATATGTTCCATTATATCATTCACTTACCTATCTCACCTGACTCATATAATAATATCAACATTTTAATTGTATTAGATCTAATTCACTTAAGTCAGTTGAAAACTAATAACATTGTGTTGTTATATATTTGTCCCACACATTGTGCAATATCTTATATCATTCTTTCAATGGTTGTTTGAAATTGTCTATAAATGAGAATATTGTTACTTTTCCTGATGAAAGTGAATTGTACAGTTACCAAACTGTTGGAATTACATTTTTTATGTCACTTCCTACTAGATGGCATCAGATATGAACATTTCTACTAGTAATATGATGGGAATTAACTAATTTAAACAAAGTTCCAAAATGAACACAACAACAAACTCACATGAACTGAATAGTTAACAAGGGAAGGTCTGTAAAATCCTCTATGCACTCTACATTCAGTATCTGATGAACCTGGGCACCTGCTTCAACAACAGTATCAACTGGTTTCACTTGAATGTTCAATTCTATTTTCACATGTTAAGGAAATTCCATAAAATCCAAACAAAATAAAATGATTTATCATCACAAAAAGAAAACAAACCTTAAAAATTCTGTATAAAAATTTATACTATGTAAATAATGCTATAGTTTTATAACATGTTTCATAAGTTTCTTCAACTCTATTACAAAACATGATTTTCTTTATAGTTTTAGTTACCATACTTAGATAGGCATCCCTAATTGTGAACTGACAGAATAAGGAGGCTTGTCAACAGCACCCACACTCAGATCTGAGGCTACTCTAATTGAATTGTTGGACTTTACCATCAAACACACAAGTGTGAAGAATAATCTTGCAGCAACTGAGCTTGAACCACAGACCCTCAGGTTTACAGTCCAACAGTAATGTTTGAGAATCAGACACATTGAACTGCTCTTAAACACTTATACACTGGTCAAGTAATAAAAGATACTTGTTGATAGGTTATTAGGAGATGAAATACTTGGGGTGAAACTAAGGAATTGAAAGTTAGTCTTGTTGCCATAAAACAACCCCATTTGACACAGGTTCTGTCGGTATTCAGATTTTATCCCTATCTGCAAGAGGTCATTTTCAAACAGTATACCATTGTGTTTGCAGATGAACCTGTATAAATAAAACAACAACACAAGGCAGTATGTTTTATACGACAAATACAAAAGAATAAAGTACACAAGTTTAACCATCAACTTAAAAAGTAAAGAGGTATATGAATTTTCTTTAAAAAGCTAAGGTCATAAAATAATCTAACTTAGTTATTAATTACATTTATTTTTTTAGGACTTGCATATACATTATTGCTTTGCAGCATTACCATACCATTGCCTTAAAATACTGAAAATAATACTATTTATGATCAAATAGAAAAAAATCCCATGGTAAGAAAAAAGCATTGACCAAATAATACAGTGGAATATTCATTACACTCATAACATTGTGCAATGTAAATTTATGTTTCTAAGTGGTTAATATATGTATATATTTCACTGAATCATTTATTGTAGAAAATATACATGTCTGTTCAAAAACACTTTTAAAAAGGTTTTACATAATTTAAGGGTGTTGATATTTCTTACTGTTTGAATAGAAGGAATTACATTAAGAATATCTATGGATGTAAAAGTTGAAAAATTGTAACACCAAGTAACAAAAGTATGAATGGAAAATTCTACACAAAATTAAACTTCTCCCTTAAAAGTTTAGATTACATAAATAAGTTTTATGATCCTGGCTACTGAAAGGTAATGAGCTTTTTAAACTTATTAAACTCTACATCTTAAATATTTCATATGAATGTTTAAAAGGTGTCAGATAAGCAGTGAAAGAAGAAACCATGTTAACATAAAAAGCTTTGACAAAAAAAAAGAGTGAAAAATGTTATTTGTTGAATTTCACACAAAGTTACTCATGAGCTATTGGCACTAGCTAATTTTGAAGTGATAGACTAGAGGAAAGGCAGCTAGTCAACATCAACCACCACAAACTCTTGGGCTACTCTTTACCAATGAATAAGGGGATTAAATATTACCTTATAATGCCCCAACAGCTTAAAGCGCAAGCATGTTTGGGGAGGGGTTTGAACTGTGACCTGCAGACTGCAAGTTGAGTGCCCTAACCACAAGGCCAAGTAAAGCACAGAGATTGAAAAATGCAAGTGCATCATAACTTAATCTGTTAAAAAATGGAGCACCAAATAAAATGTATAACAGACTATGATTTATTAGAATAAATATTTGGGTTTCCTTTTAACACACTGTATTTTAATTGGCTAATTATCCAATGAAAAAAAGAGTTTATAACATTCATCTGTTGTCATACATTAACTGCACATCACTCACTTTTTTAAGCTTTCTTCATTTTTCACAATAATTCCATCACCAATTGCTGATTTTGCTCCTCCAGCAGTTGGAGACGTAGTTTCACCAAAGACATCAACTAAGAGATTTGTGCTTGTGTTATTTGATGAAGCTGGTGGAGCTGAATTGATGGTTGGTTGATGCAGTGAGGAAGAAATACCAAGCAAATCTGCAGAAACTGCCAATGAGGGGGCATTCTGATACAAAATAATAATAATGATAAATATCTAACATTAACAACTAAATATCAGTAACTAAAAAACTAACTGTGAACCTCTGAAATTTAATAAATCTTGAATACAATTAATGAGGTCTCACAGAACAAAATTCTGAAAACTTAACATTCAAGTTGAAGAGGTAGTGTAGAAAAGTTTAATTTCAACTTCAGCACTTTTGATTCCTCAATGTATTCAGTTTTGCCTCTTAAATATATATTATGTATGTGTTATGAACAATGACCAAAGTCAGGACAATCATCAATGGCTAAACAAAGTTGTCATTTATACTTGGGCATTGATGAAACTGCCCAGCTAGTGACAATATTGGCCATAAATGTTAGGCAATGTTGTCTTAAAAACCAGTAAAACAGAGTGCTGCAGTCATTGGCTAGGCATTATCAGCAATGCTCCAAAACAAAGGGAAATAACAATACTGTCAAGCCTATGAAAATATATCTCAATTTCAGTAATTGCCCATAACACACACACACACACACACACACATATATATATATATATATATATTTGTATCGTGAAGACATTTAAAAATTTATATTTCTAAAAGTAAACCTGTAGTTTTTACTACCTCTGAATTTTTCGTATATGAGACTCCTGTGTTATTTATCACTGCAGCAGGATGTTTGTTCTCCTTGAGAGGACCAGTCACTCCTTCACTCATTCCTGGTTTCTTCTTCTTCAAGATGGCCAAAATTGAAGACTCTCGTTCTGGGAAGGGTGGCATTTCTTCAAGAACAGTGGCCTTGTGGGATAAACAAAACAGAACCATCACTGTACTATCACCTCAATATATCATAGAAGCAATTCTGTTACTAATTTATGAAGATCTACTAAATCTTTGAATGGATACTTATAAATCTTTCCACATAATATTAATTTTTACAACAAACATACTACTAACATTAGACAACTTGTACATACTTGGTTTTTCCACAAATTGTTTTCTTTTGAAGCTTCAGAGCACTAAGATTTGTTCTTATACAATATAATTTTATTGTTTTAGTAATCTTTTTTGAGTTTCAGGTATCCAACTTCATTGTGATCTTTGACCTGAACTGTTACTCAGGTTCAGGATTAATAGGGTCCAACAACATTTCAGGCCTTTTTTGAAATCATGCTGTTCTAGCAATCCAGATTCTGTTTGTTTAGAAGTTGTACATTGCAAAGTATATTTGGTTAGTGTTAGAACAAGGTGGGAGCTTAAAGAACATTTAAAATTGCAATACAAAATATTTCTTTGAAGTAATAGAAGTGGTATATTACAAGTTGCATAATGTAGGATTTTTTTACATTGATATAATTTTATATAAATACACAAGTCATTTATAAGGACTTCTACAAAAAGACATGCTAATTTGGGAAGCATATAACAAAGTTTAATAACATAATTATAACTGGGCAGTAGTGGTTAGTTGTTTGGCATTTTCTGTCACAAAGCAACTGGGTAATCTGCTCCATAAACTAGTAAAATTCTTAAAAGAAAAAAATCCAAAATTCAGATAAAAGACTCAAATAGAAGTAAAAAGGCTAATGGCTCATAAAAAGCTAAAAACACAACCAAGTTGGACAATGTCACCATCCCCAATGAACCGTCCAATGTCAGAAGTAAACCCATCGAAAGTACATGTCGAATATGGTGCTGCCGCTCATGGTCGTAACGATGGCACAACAGTAAACTGTGAGCTATTGTGACTTGAGTGTCACAAAGTCTACACATTGGTGGGTCTGTATCAGATAAAAGAAAACGAGTTAAAAAACTGTGACCAGTGCATAGCCTAGCCAAAACAACTTCCTCCATCTAATCCTTATGGAGACCAGATGGCCAGAGAGCAACAGTAGGTTTAATCTGGAAGAGCTTGTTATGACATTGTTTACCCCCAAGCCATGCAACTGGCATGAAGCTAAGCCATGAATATAGAACTACAGTCCATATATGGACTGTGTATAAGTGATAGGTGACTGGTTGGAAAAGAAAATAGAGAAAAATGGGCTAGTTATTTTTGAATATCGACGAGAACACGGTGAGAACTAATATTAACTCTCTCAACACAAGCTCGGTTAATTTGACTGACTAAGTGACTTCTTTGTACTTGAATAACGTTTTTATAGATGTAATACTTCTAACTTTCAATATAGTGTGTGTATATATATATATATATTCACAAAATATGGCAGTCTTTCAGTTCATATTATAAGTCTTTCCCATAACAAAAAAATAATTTTTTTTTTCGTGAAGTGATAAAATAAATAAATAAATAAAATAAAGATTTGTCCATCAATATATTGAGTATTTGTTTTGAATAGTCTGTGTGCAAAGTCATTTTCATGTTAAAATTAAAAATACTTTTCCTCATCTCAAATTTCCTTTGTATAATCCCTAAAACCTCCTAAATGCATTTCAGATGCTTTTTTTGTCAGTAAAACTTTATAGTTTATCAGTTATTTTCTCTATCCTATTTCAAAACAGGATCAGTCAATTTGACTGACCTTGTAACCACAAAAAAAAACACCTGAATTACCCTTTTTTCTTCAAACATGAAACTACATTCGTTTATCCTAAATAGCTCTAAGTTCGTAACAATATACATCTATTTATAATTAAATGTTATTCTTTTATTACCCATTTTACTGCCCTTTGAACTGTGTCTAACTACTGTCCATGCCATTATAAGTTGTAAATCACTCAGGGAATGTGCAGCTCATGTTACACTATTAAATTACATTACCCATGAGCTACTCGCGTGCATGCCTTGTGAACCATTTTAATTATATTATTACTTATTTTACTTAATCTAGTCTTAAATAACTTAAAAACATCTGTATTTTAGATTTTAGTTACTTTCATAATTATACATCAAGAATAAACATGAAAAACAAGAAATAGAATACTTAACCAATCTTCTTTTTTCTTGCAGCTGGGTTTTTATTTAATCAAATATTGCACCAAAGAATATAGACTAATAACCTGCAAAAAGTAGACAAATTCATTTACCTCTCAAAATTTTCCTGGCTTTCTAACTATGCAATAAGAGTTGTTACAAATTCATCGAAGCTAGTTGTTAACTTTCCCATGAGAACGATATTCGTACTCTGAATGAAATTGAAATTCAATCATTCAGAACATAATGTTATAAAATATGTCATTTGATAGATGAAAACCTTGACTTTCTATAGATTATAGGTAATATATAATGAAACGTAAGAGAGAACTATCATCAAATTGTGAAAGAGAGGATGTGGCATGTGGGGTCTGATTTTCTATTCGACAGCTCTATTACCAAATAAAATTGAAGGCTATAAAATTATAGTTTGTTTGCGCAAACCATATAGAGAGTATTTTACATTTAATTTTGTGCTTTTTCGAGGGGTGGTGGATAAAACAGAGATGATGAAATGCTAAGAGATAATGTGTCACATGGGTCACACTAGTGGAAATTTAGGATTTTTTAAAAATATTGCCTTGTAGAATTAAGAACTTAAAACTTGTATACTATTAAAATACAGATTATTAGCTAAGATTTTATGCTATACTAATTGGTATAACATAAACAAAAAGTAGTTTAATAAAATTTTGAATGTAAGACACTAAAACCTTCTGTCATGTGTAGTAAAGGATAACAGGGGCGATAGGGTTAAATGATTCTAGGGCCAGTAGAAAGCTAAGAGAGTCAGTGTACTGCATAGCTTCTATATGATCAAGGGCAAAAGAAACGGCATACAACTTGGCAGTAAACATAGAAACTGTAGACGGGACCTTGTGGGCATCCACTGAGCCACAACAAACCATGGCAGAGCCCATAGAGTCATCTGATTACAAACCATCTGTAAAAACAGAAAGAGAAGAATGGTTCGAAAGATGTTCAGCAAAGAGAAGATGGTACATCCAGTTGGGAGTATCCGCCTTCCTCAAATGACACGAAGAAAGGTCACAGGTGAGGATGGTAATAAGCCATGCCGGGATGGGCTGATCATTGGAGAGAGCAACATCATCCAATGACACACTCATTTCAAAGGCCAAAAGGAAGAATGGCAAACTGTCTATTCCAAAAGAGCATAGCCCACTGAAGAAGAAAGACACAACCCCAGGTGGAATGCTGTGGTAAGGATTGAAGTTTAGTAGCATACTGCAAAGAAAGTTGCAAACGGCAGAGGTGAAGAGGACAAACTCTGGACTGGCAAGGTGCAGAAAGCCCATGTGCAGAGCTGAAGCTGCAGACGGTGAGTGGTGTCCAGCATCTTCAAGGCAGGACCGTAGACCCATAGTCCAGTTTGGATTTAATGAGAGCACAATAGATCTTGAACATAAAACATTGATGTGCTCCCCAAGAGGTGTAAGAGAGGACATGGAGAATGTTCAGTGCTCTTGTACACTTGACATGTAGCTGCTTTATCATCATCATCATCATGTGCTGTCTTCCTCAGGAAGGTTGGCTGTCAGAATCCTCCACTTCTGTCTGTTCTGTGTTTTTCTCACCAGGTCTTCATATCTTGCTATCTCAGTCCACTCTTTAATATTTGTTATCCACTCTGTTCTTGGTCTTCCCCTGTATCTTTTTCCTTCTATTTGACCCTCTAGTAGGACTTGCTGGATGTTGTCTCGTCTCATCACATGGCCAAAATATGCTACTTTTCTTTTCTTGATTGTTGGTACAATATATCTTTTCACATTCACCATACTGAGGACTTCTTCATTTGTTACCTTGTCTATCCAGGATATTTTCATCATCTTTCTGTACACCCACATCTCAAATGCTTCCAGTTTGTTAATCAATGCTCGTGTCAAGGTCTATGTTTCACAGCCATATAATAGAGTTGACCAAATATAGCACTTTATCATTCTCTTCCTTATTTTTACTTTTATGTTTTTTGATGTCAGACTTGTTTTCATACCATTAAAGGCACCTCTTGCCACCTCAATCCTCTTCACTATTTCAGCTTCATATTTTCCATCACATGTTATGGTCCGGCTGAAGTATGTGAATTTCTCTATTTGTTATATGTCTCTTTCTTCTAATTTTATCTGAATTTCTGGCTTATTATCATGTCTACTTATCATCATACTTGTTGTCTTCTTAGCACTCATTTTCATTCCATACCTCTTTCCTGTGTTATTTATATCATTCAAAATATCTTGTAAGTCTTGTTCTGTTTCAGCCATCAGTACAGTGTCATCAGCATATCTTAAATTATTTATCAACATGCCACCAATCTTAATATCTTTATTGCTCTCAATGGTATGAAAGATGTTCTCTGTGTACAAATTAAATAGACATGGGGAAAGGACGCATCTCTGGTGTACTCCTCTATTAATTTGTATTTCTGGCGATAATCACTTTTCAGTCCTTATGAATGTTTTTTGGTTCTAATATAGATTTTGTATCAGCTGCAAATCTTTGCCATCTATATCTAGGCTATTCAAGTATTCTATCAACTTTTCATGGTTGACCCTGTCAAAAACTTTTTCATAATCAATGAGGAACACACATACATCTTTCACACTGTCCAAGTATCTTTCTGCTATTGTTCTTAAATTGAAGATTCCTTCCCTTGTTCCTTTTCCTGTCATAAATCCACTTTGTACTTCATTTATTTCTTCTACAATTGTTTATCGGTTTCTCTGTAATATGATCTTCAATGTAACCTTCAAAATATGACTTTTGCTTTCTTTGGTATTCTGACAAATATTGAATCATTCATATCAAATGGAATGTATCCAGAATCATAAACAAGTATACACTTTTCTTCAGTCCTACATAGTCTAAGGCTTCCATCATTTCTGAAGAGATGTCATCATTTCTACTTGTTTTGCCAATTTTCATATCTTCATCAACCTTTTCTACTTCTAACTTCATGATGGCCCTTCCTTCCTGGTTGTCATTATTAGGTGGATCTCCTTTCTCATCATGCTTTATGTGAGAAATGAAAGTAAGCTTATGGTCAAAGATAAGCCATAAGAACTTTGCTTCAGGGACCATGGGAAGAACAACATCACTGAGAGGAGCTCAGGATTGGAGTGTAAACCATGTTGGTGGCATAAGTGCATGCAAACGGTTTTAGAGAAAGAAAAGGTAAAACCGTTTGCTGTGGTCCACTTCAACAAACAATTGAGGGCAGTCTGAAACTGCCTCTCAATAACCATCATGTTTGAAAACCGACATGACATATGGAAGTTGTCGACATAGAGGCCATTTGCAACAGTAGGTAGAAGTTTTAAACTACAAAAAATGTAACCATTCTTTTGTTTTGTCCATACTACACAAGTCACCCTTCTCTGTAATATAGTAAAGCCCTTGTATTATTAGTTAGCAATTTTACTTTGTTCTGTGCAGTGTCTCACATGTAAGGTTAGTGCTTCTAATGCACATACACAGTAAAATTTCCTTCAAAAGTAAATAATTCTATTTGTTATTTCTACACAAAAAATCAATAAGTTCCCAAAGTTCAAATAACTTATAACTGGTGCTGTGAAGAGATATTTTTTCACAAATCAGGTTAGAAATAAACTAGTTGTACTGACAAAAGAATTATTTATCTATGTTTTAGTTTATGCTATTAGTTGTGATTTCAAAAAATTCCACATCAATCAACAGAAATGATTTTACTGAGGTGCATAATTGCTGGAAAGGATTGGTTGCTGAGGACCAATAGCTACTGGTATGAGCTGGATACTAGCAAGCTAACCACTAGGCTACGTCTGATCTTCAACACACATACTAAACATACAAATGCTACTCACCAGAACATCTGAACTAGCAATCTGACTCAACTGAAGGTATTCCATACTTCTCTGTTGTAATTCCACTTCAGAGTTTCTGACATTACTATTGCTCTTCAGTATCTGTAAAAACAGTTTTGTGTTAACATTCATATCCTACCATGTCTTCACAAGATGCAGACACTTTTCATAGTCAACATATTTTTATCTACCCACCATCATAACAGGTAAATAGTTATCATAAGTCTTTACCTCCAATCTTTAGTTCTTTATAAACAACAAATACAACAGATCATTATTAACTGTTACATTTCTTCAGAATTATAAGAGTCAAAATTTAAATGAACCCAGAGAATTCTACCCTTAAAAGGAAAATAATAAGACCTTATTAATAGTATTAAAATAATGAGAAATATTACTGTAAATATTTGGTCAGTTAACCAAACACTTTGTTTGTTTATAATTTTTGTGCAAAGCTATGCAAGGATTATTTCTGCATTGTCATCCCTAATTTCAAATTGGTAGAGGGAAGGTAGTTAGTCAACAGCACTACCACCTTGGGCTACTCCTGACTGACTGAAAAGAAAGATACGTTCACCATTTTTACAATGCATTTATGGTTCAAAAGTGCAGAGAGTTTTTGTGGCAAGAAAACTTTACCCATGAATCTTCAAAGTATGGGAATTACAACCACTAGGCCACAACTGATCTATAACCAAAGATATCAGCTATGTGTTTTTATACTTAGGTATAGCAGAATACGCTAAGAAATTAACTAGAACTAAGCAATCAATGCTTTTATATAGAACACACCAAAGAAGGTATTACTGGATCTCAACAATCAACAACTGCATTTTAACTGAGGCACATTATTGTACGTGGTGTTTTCAAAAAGGTAAATAGACTTCACCAGTGAAATTCTATTCTGCAAAAATCACAGAAGATATTATTTGGCTAGAAGCCAAATTAACAATAAGATTTTGTATTGAGAAAGAATGTTTAACATTCACATGAGTAATCACATAATACAGAGTAATGTGGAAAGTTTGAAACCATCATGATAAAAGTAGACAAATGTACGAAAGCAAAAACTTCAACAATGAGGAACTGTGGTAATAATACCAGTAGAGGGTGCCAGTAGTGATGCAGTCCTTGTCCATACTCAAATACCTGGATGTTTATATTATTCGTGTTCTTTGTCTTGCCTTGTTATCATGCTTTCTGTTTGATTCATAAATATAATAGTTCAAAAATGCCTCAAACAACTTGTTGTGTGCCTAGATGTTCTAAGAGAGGTGATCATTCATGGCCTTCAAATCTGGAACTGTATAGAATGTGGCTTCATGCTTTCAGACAGGTCCAGTGGAAACCAAAGAAAGGAGTTGTTGTTTGTCATGGCCACTCCGTGCTTAACGTCTATGTATCTGAAACTAGCTATGGTAACTATGTTTAATAAAGTTTTCATTAATTTTACTTTTCATTTAGAAATTTGTCTAAAATTATTCTTATTTTATAACCTTTTTATGTTGAGTCAAGTTTTAAAATTTTATTTTCAAAATACACTCCCCACACCATGTCCCATTTTGCAAAGTTTAGTCTACAAAATTATTTTTATAGCCTATGACTAGGCTTATGTAATGCATGATACTTAATAAAGACTAATATTTCAATAATACTTATCTCGTATGTTAAAATCTATAGTAAGCCTATATCTAAATCTAAAGTGATTGTTCATAAATATTAATAATAACAATAATAAAAAAAATATATATTTTTTTATTTTGTTGTGTCGACCTTCACCCCAAAGAAGACAAATAAAACCCGGTGCCATTCCAAGTGTGTTCATTGGTCCAAGACAATCACACCACACTCCATGAGAAGAACTGAGTGAGCACTGAAAAGGATGAAACTCTTCAACCAGCCAGTAGTTGACACACCTGAGGAAACTATCCTAGCCCTAAGCTCATAAAATGTCAGTGACAATGCCAAATACACATATTGAAATGTGAACAAGTTAATCATTATCATTATTTTCATTCAACAGCTACAATCATATCATTTTATTCAGCAATTTAAAACAAGGTTCTTACAAACATATAAAAACTATGCTTGTTTTCATATAACAAAACAATAGGATGAGGAGTGGAATTCTCCAAAACTAGTCTGGCTCACAGACACACCCCCGATGAAAGAATAGACCATTCCAAGCTTTTACTTGTTGTTAAACAAATGTTTAAACACCTCTATTCAATTATGTACCAGCTGCTTAGTGTTGGCTAACT